CTGTCTCTCTCTGTCTCAAAAATAAATAAATGTTAAAAAAAATTTTTTTAAATAAAAAATAAAAAAATAAATGGAAAGTAGTAAGAAATCAGGCAGGTCACAGGTCATCTGGAGCACTCTAGTTCTCTGAAAACAGTAGGAAGAGTAAGGTTCAGTTTCCTTTTTTACTAATTGCAAAATCATCACAAAATTTCAGCAGGTTCTTTATCACTATTTAAACTGATAACACGCCATTCATCCACTTGGTCACAGGGCTGCTTAACCCTAGAAACCAGTAACAGATGACACAGACCAGTGAATTTCCATCCTTAATCATGAGATACATGGTTAGAATCATCTGATTTCCTCTGCTCAAGACCTGCCATAAATCCCTGGCCTGGTGTCAGTTCCCAGGCTTGCAAACCCAGTGCTGTCTACTGATAATGAACCTTTCAGCAAGGTTTGCTGAGCTAAACAGGTGTCTGATGAAAGGTGTGTAATCCTTGAAGATTATCTTCTCCTAAAAGCAGCCAGTAACCCCAGACTCACACAATCCAGACAGATGGGAATTGGGAGTAGCTTGCCAGAGTTCACACTTTGTATTTGAGGAGGTTCATATGGTTTGGTTCCAGATGGTAGAAGATGAAGGTGTGCAGGAGTGAAGAGTGGCTGCCTTTGTGGGGGGAAATCCTTATCCATGAAAATTATTCCACTTCTGGTCCAGCCTACAATCTTGAAATATTACTAGTTTAAAAGGAAGGAATGTTTCACATTAAACAAGGGTTAGCCTTGCAGTTAATACGCTGGGAGCTCAATTAATTTGGGAATTTAGGTCTGCAAAAACAAATCTTGACCTTGTCCAGATAGTTCCTTCCTTATCCTAAAAGATCTGTTTACACAAAGGCAACTTTCTACCACTTTAACCATTTCAAACACAAGCAATCATGATTCTCTTCCTACAAGTAGGTCAGCCTTAACAGAGGTGAGGTAAATTTGGGTCCTACGTAATCAGTACAGCTTAGACATGCTTACCTTTTGCAGACACAATATTGGTCTTAACTTTCCCTTTAAGCAAACACCTTGATAATCTTTTGAATTAGTGTGTGGTCCATACACCAAAACTGAGACCTCACCTTCCATTGGGTAAGTAGTTCCAGTGAAGCAAAAGAGAAAGCCACCTTTCTGTAGTATCAAGATAGTTGATGTGGGTGAAGAGTTGATGGGCCATTTTCCAATTACAAGTCTCCTGATCACAGAATAAGTGCTGTTCACCTGCACCTCTAGCTCACAGACAATTTAAAGGTAATAATTTCACCAGCAATTAATTATACTGCAGCTACTGGGATTTGTCCTCCAAACACCACTTTGTTTTTAGTCTGAACAGCCAGGTTTCCCCAGAGATAGTTCAGGTTTTCTGATTCAGAGTGTCCTCCGTTAAGGAAAGGTATGAGAGGGGCACCTGGCTGGCTCAGTCATTTGAGCGTCTGACTTCGGCTCAGGTTATGATCTCACGGCTCATGAGTTCGAGCTGCGTATCGGCCCCAAGAGCCTGGGGCCTGCCTTGGATTCTGTGTCTCCCTCTCTCTGCCCCTCCCCTGCTCGTGCTCTGTCTCTCTCTCAAAATAAATAGACGTTAAAAAGAAAAGGAAAGGTGTGAGAGCACCATGGGAATCTGTTCACCAGGGGTGTAGTGTACTTGTTTCAGATCTTCAGGATAATACACCGGCTTCCAAGATAAGTGCTTTTTATTTCCCTGCATCTTACATCAATTATTTGGAATCTTTTTGGTAAGTTAAATTTAAGAGCTGTAACATTAAATCACCACATCACTATAATTACTCAACAACTAAATGAACTAAATGTTCTTACCAAAAATTGTTCTGTCAATTGGCTATATAGTAATTCTGATTTGAGGAGCCTAAAAAAAAGTAGAAGGAAACAAAAGATGGCTAGAAATTCATTATTTAAATCATTCCGTGTTAAAAGGTCAGAGTAGTGAAGTGCTACCAGCTACAGCTTTTTTTTTTTTTTTTAATGTTTATTTACTTATTTTTGAGGGAGAGGGAGAGAGAAAGAGACAGCATGAGCAAGCAAGGGGCAGAGAGACAGGGAGAGAGAGAATCCCAAGCAGGCTCCACACTATGATTGCAGAGCCTGATGCAGGGCTCAGAGTCACACACTGTGAGAACATGACCTGAGCCAAAATCAAGAGTCGGATGCTTAAATGACTGAGCAACCCAGACGCCTTCCCAGTTACAACTTTTTTGAGGGAAAGTGCCGCAGGTAAAATTTAAATTCTGTATTACAGCAACCTAATCCACCTGTGGAGTAGACGTGGACATTTTTTCTTCTAAGCTATCCATTTTAACACATTACAAGTGATTTCACTTAACTAGTAAGGAATCAGAAATTTACCTTTGGTCATTCTTATTTTGGAGATGAATTGCATTTAATCTAAACATTTCTCCTTTCGGAGGAGACTTCGTGGACTCATAAATGGCTCTCAGCTTAATGCAAGTTCTTTCCATTGCTATAAGACCCTCGAGGGTCTCATGAGTCAGAGAAGGAAAAACTAACATCAGGCAATGCAGTGATGCCTTTGGACCATGGCATTGTGTGGTCAGAAATGCTGGTGCACATCATTCCTGAAGACCTGCTTGATGTTTTCTAGTTGGAGTTTTGGCTTGCAGTTTTTCTTCCCCAGCACCCAGGAAATTACCACTTGCTGGCAGGTGTTGGTAACCTTCCTGCTTTGTAGCCTTCACTAGTGCCATATGGAGGTGTTTGCTGTGAAAATCCAGTGGGCTTCCCGGGCTCAGTGTACACATGCTCCCTGCCACCACCTCCCCAACCCCCTTCGAGTCCCAGGACTCTCCCATGGCAGTGTCAGCCACAGACTGCGGATTGTGTCCGAGAGTGTCCCAAGAGACAGCCACTTAGCGAGGTGGGAATTGCAGGTGCTGAAAAGTTTATGCCTAAAGGCTCTCCACAGACCCCAGGTTGCCTGAGAGTTCCAGTGGCCTGACCAATTTAGGCTGAGGCCATGATAAGCTATATTTGTACTGCCTCGGGGTGTGAAAACATGAGCAGCTGTATAAAATATGTTTTGGGGGGATTTTGGCTGAGCCCAGGGTAGAGACTGAGGGAAGAGAAGACAGAACAAAGAAATCCATGTGCTTCCTGGGTAAGACTGCTCATAGTAGAACCTAAGGTAGGAAGGAAGGGCACATACCGCCTTCTGACCACTTTAGTTGTATAGAAAGCTTTCTGCTGAGCTGAGAGACTGAGGCTTTCTGTCCCTAACTGGGAGGTTCAGATAAGAACCAGTGAGAGACTGCAGATCAAGGGGATAGTTCCACAGCCATGGTACTATGGTCCTCTCCCCTCGCAGTAGTACAGAGCCGGGTCCTCCAGCCAACTGAGTAGATTTCTCAGCATGTGCCAAGCACTTAGGAGGCAGGTGATGGATGTGCCAATTATCTGTGCTCTGGGGTTTGGGCACCCTTTGTACTTGAGCGACAGAGAGCTCTTCTCCATATTGACAGGGCATGATCTGGGCTGGATTCAGCACCATGGTCATCACTGTTAGCATTCCGGACACACTGCTCTTGAAAGCCTCTGGATGCAGCTGAATGACGTGGCGACAGTGGTTTGACTATAAAATTTGGTGGTGCTTGTTTATCATTCAATCAAATACATTACTCTTAAGCATGAGTTAAAGAGACAAATAAGTCAAAAGACTGCAGGAAAGCCTAAAGTTAAATGTATGCTTATTCTTTATCATGGCATTCAGATTAAAACCATCAAAATGCAAAATGCTGTGGTTACACCCCTATAGGGTGTAGGTCAGTTTGGGTTTCTTGTTCTATATTTCTGCATTATTTACAGTGATTTTGAGGGGCAGGAAAATGCATCAGAGGCTTGATTTTGTCCTTCTAAGAAAAAATCCAAAATTGAGAAAATTCTTGAGAATGCAGCCATTTTGGAAATGTAGATAAAGAAGAAAAATGCTGAAGATTTGGGTGGTTTACAGAGCAGCATGATTTTGTAATTGCTGCCACCTACTGTATGTGGTTGATGTTTGTTTAAATTTAGGAAGTTCATGAAGGTGAGGCTATTGAAATTGATAATTAGAGCAAGGTAGACATCATTAGTTTACAGCATTCCTTCTCTACTCCATAAGTGGCTCTTAATTACCAAGACAGCCGCCAGCTTTCATTCATTACCTTCAAGTGGATTTAAAGTTTTAAATCATTTAAAAAATCCCTTTGCCAAGAACCTTCACAGTAATGCTGCAGAACGCATATTCAGAAGCTTACCATGCTCGGGGATTTCCTGAGTATACATAAAACAGTTTGTTTTAAGGAGGTTGTTTTGTTTTAATTTGTGGGAGCAACATTCTGGGGTTGGATTATAAATTAATTTACATGAAAGAGGTGAAAATAGAGCTAGTAGAGCTGATGTGAGTTGCAGCAGTCGACTTAAAAGACATTCTTTTATTAGTCCTAAAACAAAGCTTCAGATCAGCCGGCTAGTTAAATGTAACAAGCAATATAGAATCTGAGTCAACAGAGACCCTTCTCTTTTATTAAGATCCAGCTGTCAAAGGGTCATTAGGTCCTTCCTGTGGAAAACAACTTGCCCATTAATGTTTAGGGTGGTCCCTTGACAGGATTTCTAAGTGCCTGACATTTCGATTTTGAGAAAATCTAAAGCTGGTGGGAAACTTGGATGTTGAAATTTATCAGAAGTAACGTCCTCAACCTTAGCTTTGTTAAATATGCCATGACGTATATTTGAAATGCAGCCTCTAGCAATGTGAATTGACTTACAGTGCTACTGTAAAGGATTCATAAGCATAAACTTCATGGAGATCAAATCACTATAACTGGGAAGAGACTGCATACATAAAGTTTGATGTGATGTTTTTACCTTATTGCTACTTATATTATTTTGAGGGGCCCCTATCCCAATGTCTAAAAACACCACGGTGAAGTCATCTTTGGCTTTTTCTGCCCTAGGCTATTTGCTTTCTAGAAGAGAAGGCCAAGCAGGGTCTCCTGAAAAGCCACTCTCCGATCTGGGCCGTCTCTCCTACCTGGCCTATTGGAAGAGTGTCATCTTAGAATATCTCTACCACCACCAGGAGAGGCACATCAGCATCAAGGCGATCAGCAGAGCTACAGGCATGTGCCCACATGACATCGCCACCACTCTGCAGCACCTCCATATGATTGACAAGAGGGATGGCAGGTGAGTACCGATGCCGGGGCATCACTGGCTGCCTCTCAAGCATCTTACACCAGAAAGTGTCCCAGGAGTTAGGTGTGGCCTCATTCCAGTTTAAGATAAGAGGTTCCCCCAAAGGTATTATCAAAACCTTTCTCCTGAACAGAAAACAGGAAATGATACTGTTTTGCTGGTCAGATTTCAATTTGCTAAATTTTTTCATTGATGAGCTCTCTGATTTTTCCTAACCTAGTAGCATTTGTCAACGTGTGTAGGTGAAATGAAATTTCAGCTTTTGATTGCACTTTGTTCTGCCTCATCACATTACAGATTTGTCATCATTAGAAGGGAAAAGTTGATACTGGGCCACATGGAAAAGCTGAAAACCTGTTCCCGGACCAATGAACTTGATCCAGAGAGTCTAAGATGGACCCCAATTTTAATTTCTAATGCTGCAGTTTCTGAAGAAGAGCGAGAAGCTGAGAAAGAGGTAATGATTGACTTCGTCTGCCTAAGTTGTGTGACTTCACTCCTGCAGCATTCTTAGGCTGAGAAAGTCATTAACATCGTTGTCAAAGGCTTGGTTATGTAGAAAGAGCTTGTGAAATGATATGGCACTAATTTATCCTAACTGAGGTTGCATGGTAAGACATGATAATTTTATTGAATTGAGTATGAAAAATGAAACATTTATCATTGATCACAAAGCAGCATTTTTCACTACTGACAGCATGTAATCAGATCACATTTGGTGCTGAGCTCCAAGGCTGCAATGTCAATCGATTCTTTGTGTTTATGAACTTGCTTAAAGTGCTCCATGCCAGTGAGCATGTAATGTAGTGATAAAGGACTCAAATCAATTCGCTGCATCATTAATACTGCTAAATATCCCATGAAACCCAATCTTCTTTGATTTGTTATCCTAACTGATGCAAAAGAGTCCTGAGATGATGCAGCTGGAATGTTGCTTGGCTGGCTGACTGTTCTGTTCAGAAACAACTTAAGAGATCCTTTGCCTTTGATCCTTAGAGGCTGTGTCTTAACTGCCCTTTCACTGGCCTACCATTTTTACCCTCCCCCCACCTTAGGCCGAGCGGCTAATGGAACAAGCTAGCTGCTGGGAAAAGGAGGAGCAAGAAATCCTGTCCTCTAGAGCGAACAGTAGGCAATCACCTGCAAAAGTACAATCGAAAAATAAATATTTGCATTCCCCGGAGAGCCGGCCAGTGGCAGGGGAGCGAGGGCAGCTTATGGAGCTGTCTAAAGAGAGCAGTGAAGAGGAGGAGGAGGAGGAAGAGGAGGAGGAGGAGGAGGAAGAGGAGGAAGAGGAGGAGGAGGAGGAGGAAGAGGAAGAGGAGGAGGAGGAAGAGGAAGAGGAGGAAGAGGAGGAAGAGGAGGAGGAAGAAGAAAATATTCAGAGTTCTCCTCCAAGATTGACTAAACCACAATCAGTTGCTATAAAGAGAAAGGTATGTGTGTTTAGATTTTCAGTGAGTCAGTTTCAATCAAATCTTATTTGTCATTGCAAACATTCTATTAGTATTTGTTTCACTCTCTATTCTTTAGAAGTAGTCTGTTTGTATTCAGTCCTGCTGATCATATATCATCATCCTTTATCTTACAGTCATGATTGTGTTTACTTTTTGAGGTTAGTGCTGTTTTGTTAAAGTAGGGACAGGCGGGCTTCCTAGTCTAGTAGTTACTGCCACCTGCTGGTTTGTGGGACTAGAGAAGTCAGGCTATGCGAACAGAAAAGGACCCTGGAGAGCACTTCAACCACCCTTCAGTGTGTTTTGATGAAAACACCAAAGCCGAGGAAGGCTAGGAGACTTGTCCAAGGTCATACAGCTCCACAGAGATGGAGCTAGAACCAGATGAGTGCTCAGACTCCAACCCCAGCACTTCTGATAATATTATTTCTTATCATAATATTCTATATTATATAGATTATATTATTTTATATTATATAGATATAAATAAATTTATTCTATATTATATAGATAGATAACATTATATTATAATACTCTAACAATTCTATGCGAAGAACAAGAAAAATATTATCAGAAAAATATTAATATTTTTCATGTTCTTCGCATAGAATTGTTAGAAGGTACTTCAGGCTCTCCATACTGATGCTGATGTTTTGCATTGGTGGCCAAGTACACAATTTCTCATAGCCTGGTGGTCACTGTAGATATACCTTGTGCACAAGGTAAAAAATTGATCTTGTCTTTAGGTGATTGTTTAACCCAGATCTGATATTTTTGTCTTCAGTATCTATCTGTGACATAGCAAGGGACCAGATATTATTAGTATAGCTAAGACTTACAGAAATAACACAAGTTGCAGCTCCGCCCCAAGGCCATCCTATGTACTGTGCGTCAAAGAACCTGCTGTTGTAAATCCCAGCTTGGTGCGCCTTCTTCTAAGCCTGATAGTCTTTTAATGGAAGGGCAGCTGTGGGGAAGGGGTAGAAAAGAGCTCTCCATAAAGTAAACTTCAGACTTGTGAGTAATCTTGGATTTCTTACCAGACAAATGTATTCAGGTATTATGTATACTACAAAAGAAATCTGTTTTAAAAACAACAAAACCAGGATTATCCAAGGTACAATATCGACTCCCATCATATAAATTGATTCAATTTAAAGAAAACTAGTTCTTTGGGGTGCCTGGGTGGCTCAGTCAGTTAAGCGTCTGACTTTTCGGCTTGGGTCATGATCTTGCAGTTCATGTGTTCAAGCCCCGCATCAGGCTCTGTGCTGACAGCTCAGAGCCTGGAGCCAGCTTCAGATTCTGTGTCTCCCCGTCTCTCTCTGCCTCTCCCCTGCTCACGCTCTGTGTCTGTCTCAAAAATAAACAAACATTAAAAAAATAAAGAAAACTAGTTCTTTACATTGGTTGTACTCACGTTTGGGAAAATTAGTGAGTTAGGGAGGGCAGGCCAACTGGGAGTGTTAATAACCATAAATGTTAATTACAGAATATGATTATCAGGTTTATATGTGAACATTCAGAGAGTTAATGTGAGCAACAGTAATTCTTGGATACAGTTTACTTAGACTTTGAGTTTTTGTTGTTGTTGTTGTTGTTGTTGTTCTTTAGAGATAAAGAGAGAGAAAGAATATGTGAGCAAGGGAGGGGCATAGAGAGAAGGAAAGAATCTCAAGTAGGCTCCATGCCCAGTGCATGGGGCTCAATCTCATGAACCGTGCGTGAGATCATGACCTGAGCCGAAATCAAGAGTCGGGACACTTAACTGACTGAGCCACCCAGGCACCATAAGAGTTTGAGTTTTAACCAAGCATATTGAACCTTCTTTGCAATATATTTTAAATAATTTTTCAGGCCCACTATTGACACATTCCATTTAAGCAGCAAATCTGTTATTCCTAATTTTAATTTTGTTTCATTAAATGCTTTTTTGCATGGGCAAAAGTATTTTATAATTGCTACCAACCTGTAGTACAATCAGAAAAAAATTTTTCGTATCATCTATAAATAGGACAGATTTCACATGTCTTTTAATTTTTTAGATGCCTTGTATAATAAAATACTTTATAAAGTTGTCAGCTGCTGACATCCCTGTAGTCACCAATACATGACTCTCTTAACATTTTAAACATTAAATAATCCTTTCTTCTAGTACCCTATCTTCTTCCCTTTTCATTGTTCCTGAAGTCTTATGAAATAGGGAACAATTAGGTTAACCTTGTATGCCATCAAACTTCCTGTAGCATTTTGCATAGAGAAGGTGCTCCTTGAACAGTTATCAAGTATTAAATGAGTGACCCAGTGGCTAGTTGGTTATTACAACGTTTATGGAAACATCTGTGTCCATGAGGACATTAATAGCTATAATGTAGAATATTGAAGTCTGCAAGTACCATAGGAAAATATATTCTAGAAAAGCAAACCTTAGCTTTTTAAAGTCTACAGTTCAGCTGCGGTGATGTTCCCTCTCAAAGCATCTTCTTGAGTAAACAACTGTTTTATTTGGAAAACACTTGCCTGTGTAGTTGGAGCCCGAGAGGGATGTTAAACATCAAATGGAAGGTTAAGTACAAAGGCATTACAGAAGTCTTTATGTGTAAGGTTCTGAGACATGCCTTCAGTACATGTTTGCTGCATATCAACTCAACCATTTAATTTCTCATGAGCTCTTATGTATTGTTTGGAATTAATTTCAGCGGCCTTTTGTACTAAAGAAGAAAAGGGGTCGTAAACGCAGGAGGATCAACAGCAGTGTAACAACTGAGACCATTTCTGAGACGACAGAAGTACTGAATGAGCCCTTTGACAACTCAGATGAAGAGAGGCCAATGCCGCACCTGGAGCCTACCTGTGAGATTGAAGTGGAGGAAGATGGAGGGAAGCCAGTCCTGAGAAAAGCATTCCAACATCAGCCTGGGAAGAAAAGAAAAACAGAGGAAGAGGAAGAAAAAGACAATCATTGTTTTAAGAATGCTGACCCTTGTAGAAGTAAGTGGAAGAATTATAAAAATCTTATCCTTGTGAATATCTTGTGTGTTACTGCCAAAAGGCAGGCACCTGAAGTTATACCCAAAGGCATCTCTGAGGTTGTGTCGACCCACCAGGAATAAGTGCTCATCTGTCTATTCTCATTCATAAAAGGTTCTATCCCTTCTTCCTGGAATTGAATTTTATTTTAAACAACTTTTAAGGCCACAACATTCCTCTAGGTGGGTTCATCTTAGAAATTGGCTTGTCCTCAAAAACTTTGAAGTCTCTCAGTAAGAAATACACTGCATCTCCTTGATTCTACTAAGTGCTTTTTTTCACATTTAATATTTCCAGAATCAGGGTTTATATTACTGTGAGCATTGAATGCAATAATTTCTTTTTTCCTATAAAAAATCGATGGCACATCTTATAATTAGTGGTGTCTTAGGATATATTATTATCAAGAATCATTTCAACTCACCCACACCATCAGTATTAGCTTTGATAATATAGGATAATGTAGAAATCAGGAAATTGTCCTTCCTTTTAAATTACTAATTCAAAATTTGCTGTTGGCAGAGACACCCCACCCCATCCTCTAAAAACAAATACTAACACCAGTGAATCAACTTTGATATCCAGTTTAAAAGCAACCATTCCTTGCCTTTTGGGCTGGGAACTTAAGCTCCCAGCTGAATCATGAGGATTTGTGGGGCAATCTGTCCACTCTACAGCTGAAATGACTGTATTTAAAAACTTATTCCAACATCTCTTCCATCTAGGAAGAGGCCATCTCATTTCTTTGGGAACTGCAGGTATCTCTCTTGCTTTTGAAAAGTCACAACTTTAAGGGCAAGAGCAAGCATCTTCCTGACTTTTATAATTAATAGGTATACTATTACTACATACAGTAGTGTCCTGAGGGAATAACATCTTGCCCAGGGTATAAAGAATCTCAAGCCTTCCCCCCCACCCACCCCATTTCTTTAAACAAACAAACAACAACAACAACAAACTATAGCAAGACACCATTTTTTGTGTGGACATTGAGCCTTATTTCCAGTTCTTAACTCCCTTCTCAGGAGCCTGTAAATGAATCATCACTACCTTTTATTCTCCACTTTGTGCCATTTGTCTTTAAAATCCTAAGTGACCATATTACTTCTGATTCCTTTCAAGATCTCCTTTCTTAAAAAATTAATCATCAGAAAACTCGGCTTCTGATTTAGAGAGGTGTTCCTACAAAAGCTGTAGGTCCAGTAACATGTGGACTCCAGGGGCACTGGCATGGTTATTACTGTGATAGAAATAAAATCATTTGAGCATCTTGCAGTGACTGTTAATTGGGTGTTGTACTTTGAACTTCTGAAGGAATCCCTCTACATCACTTATGTGTTCTCAGCTAGCCAATTTGAATGTAGTACTTGCAGGTAAGTTTATGGGTAATCCTTTTATTACATAAATGAGCTAAGGCTTACCCTGCTCTGCACTGACTGGATTAGAAATCCCTCCATTCTGACAAAAAAAAGATCTCTGTTCCACATTGAATGTAAAATCTTCTGTTTGTTCTCCACAGTAATGTTTGTAATAAGGCTATTTTTCTTTGTGAAGCTTTTCCTTTACATTGACTCCTCCAGGAGATGAGTTTGAGCTTTAACTTTCTAAAGGTCTCATGAAGACTTAGGTATTTTATATTTGCATTTATTCATATGTTTATTTGTTTGCTTATATTTCTACAAATATACTTACAAATTGGTTTATATTCATATGTGTGTAAAGGTACAGTAAAAATAATATTAGCTGAGTTAAAATGAACATGACAGTTTTGGTTTGTTTCTTATTTACTTTAATATTCAAACCTTACATTTGAGCAACAAATTGATCAAAATACAATGTGGACTGAATTAGTGATAAAAAGAATGCCAGTTGTTTAAATATTCAATTGTTTCATGGTAACTACATCATAGTTTGTATCATGCAAAAATGATGATCCTCTAGTATAGATAACAGATGCATTTGTATTTTGGAGTTATGTCTTCATTTGTTTCGGAGGTACACAGTTTATTCTTATGTCAGAGAGAACATTCAAATCAAAGTAAATAATGTCATCCGAGATCATTTAAATCTAGTAAATGTCCACAAACAGAAATTTACTTTCTCAGGACAGATATGTGAGTTAGGCTTCTATTCATTTTACATTGTGGAATGAATTCCAGGCTTTTACATCAAAGAATGTCTTATTTGTTAAACTCAAATAAGAGTATTATAGTTGTCTGTATCCGTGTGCTTTCTATAAAAAGCACAACTTTCTGTCGGAGGTCGGGAGGGAAGGGGAGAGAGGGAATATACAAGACATATATTACTTTCCCAGACCTGGACTGTTTACTCGGTTTATAGCACAATATGATTCTGTATTCGTTTTGATTATGTCTTTATCATCGACTCTTGAAATCAAAAGCAGTGTTTACTGATTAATTGAAAAGAATGAATTCAAGTTGTTCAAGGTTATGCTTTCTAAGACTTTGTTTTTCTTCCTCTCGTTTCTCTCTGTCTCCTCGCTAAGACAATATGGATGATGATACAGATAACTTGAAAGAAGGCAGTAGAGACAATCTTGAACCTCTAAAGTGCAAACAAGTGTGGCCAAAAGGAACAAAACGTAGTCTATCTAAGTGGAGGCCAAACAAAGAGAGGAAGACCGGATTTAAACTGAACTTGTACACCCCGCCAGAAACACCCATGGAACCTGATGACCAGATAACAGTAGAAGAACAGAAGGAGACTCCAGAAGGCAAAACCAGCCCTACTCCCACCAGGATTGAGGAGGAAGTCAAGGAAGCTGTGGAACCCCTGCTGCCTCGGGATGAAAACACAAGGGATGAAACATGTGCACCGATAAGTCCAAATAAATCACCAGGTGAAAAACCAGAAGATGATCTAATCAAACCCGAGGAGGAAGAAGAGGAGGAGGAAGAAGAGGAAGAGGAGGAAGAAGAAGAAAATGTAGAAAAAGACCCAGGTGGTGCTAAAAATCAGGAAAAAGAGGAACCAGAAGTCTTCACGGACAAAGAAGACCCTGTTCCTCTGGATGATCATGAAGAGGAGGAGGAAGAGGATGAAGAGCCATCTCACAATGAGGGTCATGATGCAGATGATGAAGATGACAGTCACATGGAGTGTGGAGAAGCAGAGAAGGAAGAACGCCCAAGAGAATCCTTTAAAGAAGTACTAGAAAACCAGGGGGCTTTTTTAGACCTTAGTGTCCAGCCTAGTCATTCGAACTCAGAGGTCCTAATGGAGTGTGGCGTTGACCTTGCAGCTGCGTGTAACAGTGAACCTAAGGAGCTTTCTGGAGACACTGAAGCTGCACCTGAATCTGATGAGGAATCCCCAGAAGAACAGGCACAGAAGCAGGACCAAAAGAGTGGCGAAGAAGTGGATTCTGAGTTCAAAGAGAGAAACACGACGGCCATGGAAATTGACTCTGAGACCGTTCAGGCAGTTCAGTCTTTGACCCAGGAGAATAGTGAACAGGATGACACTTTTCAGGATTGTGCTGAGACTCAAGAGGCCTGCAGAAGCCTACAAAACTACACCCATGCAGACCAAAGCCCACAAATAGCCGCCACTCTAGATGATTGCCAGCAGTCAGACCACAGTAGCCCAGTTTCATCCGTCCATTCCCATCCTGGCCAGTCAGTACGTTCTGTCAACAGCCCAAGTGTCCCTGCCCTGGAAAATAGCTATGCCCAAATCAGCCCGGATCAAAGTGCCATCTCCGTGCCATCTTTGCAAAACATGGAAACCAGTCCAATGATGGACGTCCCGTCAGTTTCAGATCATTCCCAGCAAGTCGTGGACAGTGGATTTAGTGACCTGGGCAGTATCGAGAGCACAACCGAGAACTACGAGAACCCTAGTAGCTATGATTCTACTATGGGCGGCAGCATTTGCGGAAACGGCTCTTCACAGAACAGCTGCTCCTATAGCAACCTCACCTCTAGCAATCTGACACAGAGCAGCTGTGCTGTCACCCAGCAGATGTCCAACATCAGTGGGAGCTGCAGCATGCTGCAGCAAACCAGCATCAGTTCTCCCCCAACCTGCAGCGTCAAGTCTCCTCAAGGCTGTGTGGTGGAGAGGCCTCCAAGCAGCAGCCAGCAGCTGGCTCAGTGTAGCATGGCCGCTAACTTCACCCCACCGATGCAGCTGGCCGACATCCCTGAGACTGGCAACGCCAACATTGGCTTATATGAACGAATGGGTCAGAGTGATTTTGGGGCTGGGCATTACCCACAGCCATCAGCCACCTTCAGCCTTGCCAAACTACAGCAGTTAACTAATACACTTATTGATCATTCATTGCCTTACAGCCATTCCGCTGCTGTAACTTCCTATGCAAACAGTGCCTCTTTGTCCACACCATTAAGTAACACAGGGCTTGTCCAGCTTTCTCAGTCTCCGCACTCTGTCCCTGGGGGACCCCAAGCACAAGCTACAATGACCCCACCCCCCAACCTGACTCCTCCTCCGATGAATCTGCCACCGCCTCTTTTGCAACGGAACATGGCTGCATCAAACATTGGCATCTCTCACAGCCAAAGACTGCAAACCCAGATTGCCAGCAAGGGCCACGTCTCCATGAGAACCAAATCGGCATCTCTGTCACCAGCCGCTGCCACCCATCAGTCTCAGATCTATGGGCGCTCCCAGACTGTAGCCATGCAGGGTCCTGCACGGACTTTAACGATGCAGAGAGGTATGAACATGAGTGTGAACCTGATGCCAGCCCCAGCCTACAATGTCAACTCTGTGAACATGAACATGAATACTCTCAATGCCATGAATGGGTACAGCATGTCCCAGCCGATGATGAACAGCGGCTACCACAGCAATCATGGCTACATGAATCAAACACCCCAATACCCTATGCAGATGCAGATGGGCATGATGGGAACCCAGCCATATGCCCAGCAGCCAATGCAGACCCCACCCCATGGTAACATGATGTACACGGCCCCCGGACATCACGGCTACATGAACACGGGCATGTCCAAACAGTCTCTCAATGGGTCCTACATGAGAAGGTAGGCAACATGGGCAGTCACAAGATCCCCCTGGGCATCACTATTGGATTGAATCTGCACAAATACCTTCGAAGAGTACGATTTCAAAACCAGCAATTGGTGTGAATGCAAAAACATTTGTTGGCACCATTTATTTAAAAAAAAAAAAAAAGCTGTATGCAGCAGAAAGCCTTATACAAGTTGTTTTTCTTTTTTTCCTTTTTCTTTTTTTGGTATCTTTGTTTCTGTTACTTTTATATGAAATTCTCTGCAAAGGAAGGCCTCTCTGGACTACAATTTGAAGGCAGCCACTTGTTGTGCCTGCTTCCATGAAATGATGTGGATATCAAGCCCCGCCCCACCAAATTATCTGTTTTAATACTGAACCTAGAACTTTTTTTTTTCTTCCCTGTCCACTCCATGTAAATGCCTTTAGCATTTCAGTTATTGTATATTTTGTTTAAGGTGACACTTCAGCATGCCGCTAATGTCTTTGTTAGTGACAGTGCATTTTGTAGTACTGTACAAGTGTTGTGCTAACAGTAAGCCATTTCTTAAGTTTTTTGCCTTGATTAGGGTGCCCTAATTTGAGGGTTTAAAATAAAATTATATTTTTGTTAATTATAAAACTGTAAAGAGCTATAAAAGCTATTCCCATTTGGTTAGTCAAAAGGGGTTTTATTGCTAAATGTTTGGTGTAAAGTTGAGACCCTTTTCCATTTTGGTGACAGATTTCTTTGGGGAAAAAAGGCAGCTTTCTGTTTTATAAATGCAGACTTCTGTTTATTGAATGAAGCATATCTCAGTGTTTATCTGTCAGGTTTTGAAACATTTCATATATGTCCAAATACTTGGCAGGATTTAAAAAAAAATAGTGAATTTGGTGTAAAGTTGCTATTTTATGGAAATGCCTCTAACTTTACATTTTCATTCCATCTGTAGATTTTTCTATCTTTATAAAATATTGGAGTTATTTTTTAAGGAAAAATAGAGAAGTAGCTTGTGAATAGCTCAAACTAAGCTTACAAATCGCATGTAAAAAAGCAAAAAAAAGTTATTTGTGTCTGTTTATATTGCTTCCTTTTTTGTAGCCTTTGTACCTGTACAGGGTGACTGTAAGGGCCAAGCAGGAGAGGCGTAATCCTTGTATAAAATAGGAGCCAGCGACACTCTTGTATTTATCTGTTCTCTTTTTAGTCAGTCACTTCAAAAAAAAGAAGAAAAAAAACAAACAAAAAAAAAGCTGTACATTTTAACATAAAATAAATTATGATGAGCCATTTTTAGCCTCTTGTGTCCTGTCATATTATGATTGATAGAGAATGACCAATGGAACTGTATCATGTGTCACATCTCAGAACACATACACATTTTGGGAAAATAAATTATTTAGTGTAAATTGGAGTTATGAGATTTTCTGATTTGTTTTGACTTTGGGGGAGGGGGTTGGCAATAAATAAGAGTAATATCTAATAAAACCATCACATATACCAAATACCTATTTAATAAATTAATTTATAATGGATTTTAATGCTTTTCATGAAAGTTTATTTTATGCTGGTGCATACCTTCTGTATGCCAATCATTGTCTTTAAAATAAAGTGAATTTGTTTTTTTCTTTTTGACTTTGATCTTCATTTGCAAAGGGATCCTATACAAATATTCAGTTGCCTCATCTGTACCGTCTGTGTAAACACCCCTCAGGGCCTTAGCACAGTGGTAGCAAACTTCATTTTTATAAAAGTTAATACCCAAACACCCAATTTGGGATTGTACGTTTGAAAAATCATCTCCAAAAAAAAAAAAAAAGGTGTGAAAGTTTTGCTCTTGTGAATGAATGATTGGATGTTTTCTTTAGAGTCTAAAGTTTAGACCAAAAACAAAAAGTCATTGTTTACAAACACTATTCTATGGCATTCAGAGAAACTTCTGTCTGACTGTTAAAACAGTTTATTATTTGAGCTTCTAGCCTAGAAATAAATGCCTCACTTGGCATCCATGGGAACTGGCCCATTAAGCTCCCAATGTGTCTAAATGTGGGTGCTCACGACTCTCCTATCATTTCTTTTATATCGCGCAGAGGGAGAACGTTTTTCCATCAGTGGTTCAACACAAATCAAGTGTTGTATAGACATAGACACAAACTTTCAAGTAGACTCAGAATAAAACCGAAAAGGCAGGCTAGTGCACATGCCCCAGGATCACAGGACACTGTAGAGAGAGGAGGCCCAATGGGGTTTTGCTTTGCGCTCTCACCCTTACTAGGTTTCCTTCACAGTTACAAAGCGTTCTGGGTTTAGCGTCTGGCAAGACGTTGTCTTTAGGTCCTTTCTTTCCACAAATGCCCAGTCCGTGAGGGAATTCTCTGTAGTGGCTGAGGGAGAGCTCATGAAAAGACACTTCTGCAAGGGCTTTAGTCACAAAGGGAAGAAGAGAAACTAATAGGAAGGAAAACCTAATCCAGCTTCAGAGAGGGAGGTGATGGTGTGCCGCTAGTTCGGCAGTAGCCATGAATCTTAGCAGCCCAGTGGGTGCACCTGTCAGGCAAGAGGCTGCCTGAGCCTAAGAGCTGGGGTGGAGGCCTGCTAACAAGCTGATATGGAAGCTTCCACAGGCCCCATCTTGAAACCTTCACATATGTAGTCTCCTTCCTCTTCTGTTGAGGTCCTTTGGGACTGAGATTCCCTTGTGTTTTCCTTTTGCCATGGCCTGCTAATCACACCCTGTGGTTTGTGTGAAACTGGGGTTCCATCACCCCCACACCCTGCCTTCCTCACAGTCCTCCAGGGAGCTTGTGGGCAAGTTCTGGTCACTGCCCCAGACCTACCAGATCAGAATCCAAGAACACTACTAGGGACTCCTTGTGTCATAGGCTCCCAAGGGACTGCAGCATATCCAGGTACAGGACCCCCTCTGCTGGCCCCTATCTCCAGCATTCACGGGCAGAACAGAAAGGCTTGGGGGAGAGAAACTGCTGATCTGAGGTGGCCTCAGAACACTGCACACTCTTCCTTACCCACTCTCACTAGAGAAAGCAATTCAGACCAAAATGTGACACCAAGGATCCTGGAAAACAGGAACTTGGATTCATCAGAACTGAAATGGAGTCACCATCAGGTTGAGATTCATTAACAAGCCATGTTTTTTAAGCCCAGTAATCTCTTCTTTCATTTACCTTATAAGAGTCGTGAGTGGTCATCAGCTGTCGACCTTTTCTTTTGAATCGCTCAAGTGGTGCCTACCCAGGTGTGAAGGCATCGGCCTTCCTTGCCGACACTCTGTTTCAGAAATGATGACTCACAATACTGTTACAAGCTTTCATAAACAGCCTTCCCACGTGATCCACACGCCTACCCTGTGCAGGAAATGGGGCCATTGTCTCCGGTGTCAGATGAGGAGATCGGGCTCAAAGAACCTATCTTAATTGCCCAAACTCAGCTAACATTTGGAAGCTGAAACAAACCCAATTCTCCAAATGGCAGCTCTTCTTCCTACACGTAACTCTGAAAAGACCGTAAGTTGTCATCTCTCTGATTTCAAGGCTCAGCTAACAAATTCACGATGCTACAGGAACTATTAAGTGCCATACAAATAAACTTTGCTTTGTTATAAGCAAGCATTGTCTCCAGTGTACAGCCAACAGACTACCAGTACTGTTAAATTATGAAACTGTGCCCAGGTGTCCATAATTCCACACTCCTGGTTTTTCTTCTTCCTTCTCTGTCCTCTTTCCTGGTTCTCCCTCTGCCACCCAGGCCCAGCTCTAAACACTGATGTTGAAGCACTCAGGCCTGGGACTTCCTCCCTTTTCTCATTATCTCACCCAGGATGATGAGTTCCAACACCACCTACGCACAGATAACACCCAGAATTACACCTCCAGTTGTGAACATTCCTCTGAGCTCCTAGATTCAAGGTCCAATGACACGGGATACTTTATGTATGTCTTACAGACGTAACTGGTGATCTCCAGCCCTCTCCCCCCATTTCTGCCCTGGTCAACCTCATCTCCATACTCAGGCAAGAAACCGAATCAATAGCTTTCATTTTTCTTTGCCCTCTCATCAGGTTCTGTCGACTCTCCAGGATAATTCCAAAATAATCTTGAGTAGTAGTCCCCTGGGGCTGTCTCAGTCCAGGCCACCATCCTCTCCTGTCTAGGGTTCCAACAGCTTCCTGTCTGGTCTTCTTGCCTCCCTTCTTAATTCCCAACAATCCATTCTCCATACTTCAGCCAGAGTGATCTCCTTAAAACATAGGTCATACCATTTCCCTGCTTAAAACCATTCGGTGGCTTTTCTCTGTACTTGAAATAGAATCTAGCTTCTATAACCCACGTCTTCCAATTTCCCCCTACCTATGGGCTCCAGCTTCACTGAGGGGCGTTTCCTCAAAAATATGCCTCTTTATCACTCTGGGGCTTTCACCAGTGCTGTTCTGTTCCTCAGCCTAGAATGACTCCCCCTTTGGAGGGTGTGCTCCTTCAAGTCTCAGCTCACCCCATCTCCTCAGGTCTTCACCCCATCCCCAATTGTCCTTCACCTCACTACCTGTTTGCCTCATTGCACTTTATCACAACATGCCTTTTTGTTTTTACTTTTGGCTTTCTAACCCAATTTTTGGCATGCGGTAGGTTCTCAATGAATACTTATTGGCCAAATAAATAATTTACTTCTGAAGACTTGAAATGCTTTTGCAAAAATTTCTGTTCCTCCTTTCTCCCACCTCTGGCCCCCAGGAGCCATCTTGCAGAGACCAGAACTCCAACTTTAAAGTTCTCTGCTCCTGCTGTCCTCAGTAAGACTCACAGCCCCACAAAGAGATGGGCCCATGTAGGAAAGTATAGAGAAGCTCAAGAGAACACCAGCATTTCATCCTACCATACATCCCACAATGGATTCATTTAAATGTAAGTATGTCATTATGATGTATTAAATGTAATATTTCATTAAAATGGAAATACTAATTTCTTTCTAGACAAGGAATATATTAGACCTAGGAGATAAATGAGTTTTGAGTGGGTTA